CTTGGCCTGGTGACCTCAGTTTGAGCATCCCAGAACTCTAAGCATTGCTTGGTCACCACTTTCTTCTAAAGCTAATTAGTCACATCTCTCAAAATGGTAATGTTTCATATATTAATAACTTCTTGTCCTAGGGATGGTGGGTGGAAGGATGTGTGCTATGCTTATGCACAGGGGAAAATTTATTTTGTAGAGCCTCTGACTCCTTGACCATGCTGCCATCTGAGAACTTTTAATCGATTAGGTTGGTGGGGTAGAGGGGTTGGTGGACTGTATTCCATCACAAGAAGAATCTCCTTCTCAGGTTCCCAGGCTTCCAGAAAGGGAGACTGTAACAGAATGAGCAGGAGCAGAAATTGTACAGGAAGAGCCAGTGAAATTATATGGAGAAAGACACAGGAATGAAAATGAGGTGTTTTTTCCTTCTAATTTTATTGAGAAATAATTGACATATACCACTCACATGGATCTACATTCTTAACTTTTGTATATATCATACAGCAATGTTAACTATAGTGATCATATTGTTGTGAGGTTGATTTTTAATATGAATTTAGATTTGAGAATCAAGATAGGACAGAAAAAGTAGATACCATAAGCTTACAAATTGCTGTCCCTGCCTTGAAGATCTCTGGTCTGTATTCTATTTTCTCCATATGTCAGGTCATTTTGGATTCACTTGCTGTATCACCTAGAGTGTAATTTATAAATTATTTCTAGCCCTTAAGGATCTCTATCTCATTTGATACTCCATTCTGCTTATTATGCCAAACAAATGTGCTACTCGAAGATTCTAAGTATCAGGTTCCTGAGTATTTCTGAATGCTGCTACAGAAATAAATTCTGTCTAGCATTTGTCCTAGTTCATGATTCCCATCTTCAACAAGATTCTCATAGCTGCTTGGAAATTTTATTTATTTTTTAGCTATGTATAGATTCCTGCCTTCTACAAATTTTGTGCACATAGCATAGTAGTTAGTTGGTAGTTTAGTCACTAAGACGTGTCCAACTCTTGTGACCCCATGGACTATAGCCTGCCAAGCTCCTCTGTCCATGGGATTCTCCAGGCAAGAATACTGGAGTGGGTTACCATTTCCTTCTCCAGGGGATCTTCCTGACCCAGGAATCTAACCTGGGTCTTCTGCATTGCAGGCAGATTCCTTACCAACTGAGATAGCATATTGCATTATTTTTCACATTTACTTCTCAAAACCTTTTATCCTGTATTATTGAGATTTTGTCATTTCTGGTCTTCCTTTCTCCACTTGCTCACTGTTACCTCCCTAAAATCTATATTTTCTCTTTAGTTTTTTTGTTTCACCTGATCCTTTAATGGCAGAAAAGATATTTAAGCTGTAAATCCATGCCTTTTTCTTAGTCTTTTTCTTTTTGATCTCTTTGTAAGTGACAGCCATCCTTACTTCTTAGATATTCCTTTCTCCCTTGTTTTTTGTTGTTATGCACATGAACAGGGTTTTAAAGTGCAAATAACATATAAAATAGTAGTAATCATAATATAATGATGATGATGACAAATACAAGGTATTTGATCTTTTGGGACCATGTATGGTTTCTCTATTAACTTTATCTATTTAGATATTATTCTTTAAACAAAAATTTTTTCCCATGACTTCAAATATTAGAACTTTCAAATTTTTGTTTCTAGCTGAAATCTTTCTTGCCTATCATCAACTATTATGACTTTTAATGTATAAGTGGTCTCCTGAGACTTTGGTGAATCTTTTACTGACACCAAAACCTTGGTGTATTTTGGTTCTTTCCCATTCTAATCAGCAATCATCTTTCTCCCTTCCCCTCAACCTATAGCAATAACATGGGAATTTAAGTCTAGATTCTGCCACTGGTAGCTGTGAAATTTTAGGTAAGTTAATTTATGTATGTGTAAATGCTTGTGTATAGGATAGAAAATTTTTCTGAGTAAATTAAGATTCTTTTTTTCACATCTTTATTGAGACATAATTGATGCATTGTATAAATTTCAGGTATACATTTTTCTGAATTCTTATTTAAAATCTATAATAGTAGTTTTTAGATCATGAACAAATAACTATATTTGGATGATTTAGCCAAGTAGTTATGTATTTGGAATCAGAATGGTTGATTTTTTTCTTTCTTTTTTTCTTTTTCCAATAATTTGCTAACTTCTCTGAATTTGGGATTACTTATCTGTGAATGAAAACAGTCCTATAATCATAAATATCCACCAATATGTCATTATAAGGATCAAATATGTGAAAGGACTTAATAAATATGTGCCACATAAATAGTGTATCTATGTGTCTCCAGCTTTAAAATTCTATCGTCAAATACTTCAGAAGTTTTTAAAGTATGGTGAAAAATATCTGTATTTTCTTTTCTGACTTTAAGAATAGCATGTAATGTGACTAATTATATATGAAGACTGGCAGATAGAAACTATAAATTCCCTGCTATCAGAAACTCTTTGCTTCTCTCTTTCTGTCTCTCTCTCTCTTTCCTTTTACATGCTTGTTATTTTTAGAAACTTCAGAAGTTAAACCATATACCACTATAAACCTTGAGATGAGGCTGCCCTATTATATAGCTGGAAATTTATGCAAGAATATCAGGTATTCTCTTGAGAGTGGTTGGGAAAAATGTTAGTGCTCAGTTTGATTTTGGAAACTTCCCTTATGCCTACTGGACTTAATGGAAAAAGATGGTAGATCAGAAAAACAGAAACTGTGGGAAATTATGGTCCTGAAAAGATGGGCTTTATTTCAGAGATTTATTGACTAGACAATCAAGAAATCTTTGCTATTTATTTCATTCTCTGTTTTAGGAAACAAAAGAGCCAGAAGAAATGGTCTTTATCCTCCTCAAACTTGCAGTACATTTGGGGAAAGAGAATTTATAAAATTGAAACCGTTGAAGAATTATGCTAAGTAGCAAAGGATTTGCCCCCTAAATAAAGCATTGATTATTGTCTCTTCTCAGAATGCCTTCCGCTCTCCTCTCAGCTTATTAAACTCTTACTAACTTTTAAAAACTCACATCAGATCCTTTCTGCTTTGTAAAATAGTCTGTAAATTTCTCAGTGGACTGTTGTTTATCCTTCCTGGCCGACATTAACAAAACAAAATAAAAAAAACACCCGGAGCTTCTCCTATGAGGCTACATATTGTGGCTTATTTTTATATAGGGAATTATTGTTTTCCAATTAAAATTTATTTCCTGACTTCTAGGAATACAAAAAGGTAAAGGTTAATATAGAGTTACTAGGGAAATGGTATTTTGATGGAGAGAATGGGATTTTGATTTACCTTTAAATGATGAACAGTGATTGGAATGTTCTGTATTGCAGTAGCCAATGCATAATTGGCTATATATGACTGTTATGTACTTGAAATGTTCCCAGGGCAACTGAGGAAATAGATTTTTAGTTTCATTTAATAATGAGCTAGTAATCAGCTGCTACCGTTAGCTAGATGTGACTAGTGGTTAGTGTTTTGGACTAACTAGATATAGGTTTGGCTTAAATTTTCTTACTTTAATGTTTTTCTGGTATGCAGAATCCAAAGACATATGTGTACTATAAAACCTAGGTTCCTGGACTAGGTGGTCACTAATGAGGTTTGTGGGATAATAGTTTTATGATCAGTTTCACTAATCATGCATAACTGAGGTGTATAAACACACATTAAAAAACAGAGCTTTGGGCTCTTTTTTTTTTTTTTCTTTCTATTGCTGGGTTTCTCTTGCTGAGATTCCAGGTCTGAGGCTTTTTGTGCATTCATGTACCTTTATCAGCTCTTCACTATTTATGCTGCAATCTCCCTCTTTTTTCTATACATTTCATCTTCTAGCTGGGTATCTAAATATTAAGGAAGCAGAAGGGCTTGAGACACAGAAGTGTTTGACCCACAGGAAAGAGAATATATTTTCCATATGGTAAATGCAAGCATGGGTAAGAACTAGAGACATTCATGAGTTGGGATTCCAGAGTTGGAATTATGAAAGAGTCAGATTTGGTATCAGGTCCCAGACAGTTGGGTGATTTGAAGCAGAGAGATGAGATAAGGAGGGAAATGGGACCCAGACAGAGGGAGTGACAGGAGAGGGACAATGGACAACTATGACATGAGTGTGCATTTCTTCATCTCCAACAAATTCTAAAAGATTAAGACTCCTATAGCTCTAAACAAAGTTCACAAACCTCAAAGATTGTGAAGAATCTTGTCAGATAGATCGAATTGGCTTCCTTAAATTCTTTGACTCCTCATAACAACCCTGCCTCCCCACCAACCTTATACATCTTGGCCATATGCTGGCTGCTAATCACAAACTAGATACTTTCACTTATACATCTGGTTGCCCATGCAAATACCCTGTGCCATGAATATCCATTCTTTCATTGGACCTGTCAGACTCCAGAGTCACCTCTATGCCCCATGCCTGGCTCTCTTATGTTCAACTCTGTCGGGGCTTTGTGTGAATTGCAAATGTGATTGTAGGTGTGATTGCGAATGTGATTGTAAGATAGATTATAACAGATATTTTGTGCCTGAGATGAGGTGAGGTTAAGAAATGAGACAACTTGAATGGTTGAAGAATTGTTCTATGAACAATTAAAAAACAGAACAAATGTGTTCTGGCAAATGCCATCTCCACCTCTTCTTCCCTTTTCTCTTTGTGGTACACTGCACCACCTTTCCTGCCCCTCCCAGTCCTTGCTATGCACATCTATTATCTTATTTGTTCCATACTCTTGTTTATAGATGAATAGTTTTGGGGGATGTGGTGAAAGGTATGTTGCATGTGATAGTGGCTCAACTGCTTTAAGTAAACACAGGTAAAATGCTTTTTTAGTGATGATATGGTCCTGAGGAAGAATTGAAGGGATATATAACCTTCACAGCATGAAGTTTCTTATATAATCATTATAATATTGAACTTTATTAGCATTCTTATTTTCACTTATTTTTCCTTTTCTTTTGTCTGGAAACATTCAAGCTGATAAAGCAATGGATGGAGCGAATCACTCTATGGTGTCAGAGTTCATGTTCCTGGGACTCACCAATTTCTGGGAGAGCCAACTCCTCTTTGTGTTCTCCTCCATTTTTTGTGTGGCAAGCATGTTGGGAAACTCCCTCATCATTCTCACTGTGATGATGAACCCTCACTTACACTCCCCCATGTACTTTCTGTTGGCCAACCTCTCCTTCATTGACCTGGGAGTTTCTTCTGTCATTTCTCCCAAGATGATTTATGACCTTTTCAAAAAACGTAAAGTCATCTCCTTTAGTGGCTGCATCACTCAGATCTTCTTCATCCATGTCATTGCTGGGGTGGAGATGGTGCTGCTCATCGCCATGGCCTTTGACAGATATGTTGCCATATGTAAGCCTCTCCACTATTTCACCATTATGAGTCGAAAAATGTGTATTTTGCTCCTGGTTGCTGCATGGATAATTGGCTTGATTCACTCTGTGGTTCAACTAGTTTTTGTTATAAAACTGCCGTTCTGTGGCCCTAATGTATTAGACAGCTTTTACTGTGACTTTCCTTGGTTCATCAAACTTGCCTGCACAGATACCTACAGACTGGAGTTCATGGTCACAGCCAACAGTGGATTCATATCCCTGGGATCATTCTTCATATTGATCGTCTCCTACATTTTTATCCTCATCACTGTTCAGAAACACTCTTCAGGTAGCTCATCTAAGGCCCTCTCCACTTTGTCAACTCATGTTTGGGGGATGTGGTGAAAGGTATGTTGCATGTGATAGTGGCTCAACTGCTTTAAGTAAACACAGGTAAAATGCTTTTTTAGTGATGATATGGTCCTGAGGAAGAATTGAAGGGATATATAACCTTCACAGCATGAAGTTTCTTATATAATCATTATAATATTGAACTTTATTAGCATTCTTATTTTCACTTATTTTTCCTTTTCTTTTGTCTGGAAACATTCAAGCTGATAAAGCAATGGATGGAGCGAATCACTCTATGGTGTCAGAGTTCATGTTCCTGGGACTCACCAATTTCTGGGAGAGCCAACTCCTCTTTGTGTTCTCCTCCATTTTTTGTGTGGCAAGCATGTTGGGAAACTCCCTCATCATTCTCACTGTGATGATGAACCCTCACTTACACTCCCCCATGTACTTTCTGTTGGCCAACCTCTCCTTCATTGACCTGGGAGTTTCTTCTGTCATTTCTCCCAAGATGATTTATGACCTTTTCAAAAAACGTAAAGTCATCTCCTTTAGTGGCTGCATCACTCAGATCTTCTTCATCCACGTCATTGCTGGGGTGGAGATGGTACTGCTCATCGCCATGGCCTTTGACAGATATGTTGCCATATGTAAGCCTCTCCACTATTTCACCATTATGAGTCGAAAAATGTGTATTTTGCTCCTGGTTGCTGCATGGATAATTGGCTTGATTCACTCTGTGGTTCAACTAGTTTTTGTTATAAAACTGCCGTTCTGTGGCCCTAATGTATTAGACAGCTTTTACTGTGACTTTCCTTGGTTCATCAAACTTGCCTGCACAGATACCTACAGACTGGAGTTCATGGTCACAGCCAACAGTGGATTCATATCCCTGGGATCATTCTTCATATTGATCGTCTCCTACATTTTTATCCTCATCACTGTTCAGAAACACTCTTCAGGTAGCTCATCTAAGGCCCTCTCCACTTTGTCAACTCATGTCATGGTGGTGACCTTGTTCTTTGGTCCTTGCATCTTTGTTTACATCTGGCCTCATCCCACATCACACCTAGACAAATTTCTTGCTGTTTTTGATGCAGTTCTCACCCCTTTTTTAAATTCAGTCATCTATACATTGAGGAACAAAGAAATGAAACTGGCAATGAGGAAAGTGTGCAGTCAATTTATTATTTACAGAAGGATTTCTTAAATGACAAGAAGTATAAGGGTTTCCTTACCAACATGAAGTAATGTTATATTTCTATTATTTTAACATCAGGAGTTTCCAGGCATCACATACACATTTAGGTTTCCCAGGTTAAAATAACATGGTTCTTATAAAAATCTTAGCTGAGAAACTGTGTTGCTGCCTATGGTTGGAGGAAGCATGTAGTGTGGTAAAAAATTTCTTCTGGAGAAGGCCAAATGTTTGTCTCTCAAGAGACATTGCAATTCAATCTGATGAATTTACTATAGTCTAGACTTCAAAACTAATATCTTCAGTGTCAGAGTGGGTTATATAAGGGAATTCCGATGGATACTAGGTAAATTAATACTAGATCAAAATATATACACCAAGATGCCCATTTATTAACTTGTCACAAAAAAATCAGTCAAGTAGTTTGAACTTCTACATAAGTGTAACTCATTATTTCATATGTAGGGAAATTTCAGAGAAGTTAAGCAGTGATAATAATGTTAATGAACAGGAAATCAGAGCAAGAACAGTTACTCCAATTATTAAAATATTAATTATATCAGATTTTGATACTTAATGCCTATTTCTTCACACCAGGATATGATTGTCATTACAACTGGAGAAATAGGATCTTTTGGTCAGGCCTTTTATCTTGACTGTGCTGGCTGATCATCACAAGATTTACCTTTGATTATCGTTCATACTATGTTCCAGGCTATGTAACCCCTATGCTCCTACACATGCATTCTTATTTCCATAAGTAACTAGCCGTGCTCCTCCTTTTCCTTCTGCTGGCATGATTATTCCTGTTGTATTTGGATGATTTGAGTTCTTGCAAGATTTCCAGGTAGTGCTAGTGATAAAGAATTCCAAAGAATTCATCTGCCAATACAGGAGACATAAGAGATGCAAGTTCAATTCCTGGGTCAGGAAGATCCCTTGGAGTGGGAAATGGCAACCCACTCAAATATTCTTGCCTGAAAAATTCCATGGACAGAGGAGCCTGGTAGACCACAGTCCATGGAGTTGCAGAGTCAGACACGACTGAGCACAGCACAGTGCAGCAAGCTAAACTTTAGTTTGGGAAGTGTTTTATATATGAGCATATTCTATTTTATAGGAATGAGGGATTTACATCAATAGATTTAGAAATTTCAATTCATACTCATTTCAACAAAGAGGAATCAAGGTCCAGTCTCAAACCTGTAGTGCGAATAACTTAGCCATATACATCCTTATATAGACACCATACCTCTTAACCAGTTAATCAGTCTTACTATTGTCTTATAAGTGGTCCTTATTTGCCTTCTAATTTATTTCACTTTGTAATATGCTAGCTTTATCTTTTGATTTCCTTTGCCTTATATCATTTATTCAGTTTTTTAGTCCTCTTTTTTTTTAACATTTAGAAAACTGATACCTATATATCAGTGTCAGTTTATTAGCTCACACTATTCTCAGTTCAGTTCAGTTCAGTCGTTCAGTTGTGTCTGACTCTTTGCAACCCCATGAATTGCAGCACGCCAGGCCTCCCTGTCCATCACCAACTCCCGGAGTCTACCCAAACCCATGTCCATCGAGTTGGTGATGCCATCCAGCCATCTCATCCTCTGTCATCCCCTTCTCCTCCTGCCCCCAATCCTTTCCAGCATTTTAAGTACCTCTAATTTAATATGGTGAAAATTGGAAGAAACAACGACAAAAAAAAAAAAATAAAAGAGAAAAATGCATTGGCAACAACAAAAATAAGTATAGAGGAAATGTAAATAAACTTTCAAATTCTGTTTTGTTTTGTTTTTTAAGTTGGTACCATTTATACTACTGAACATAAGAAGGCTTAAAACTGTACTAAGACTTTTGGGATAGACTATTTTTCTTGAAATATTTTTCCACACTACATTTGTATCAGTCTGTTATACTGNGAATGTCAACATTCTAGGAATCAGCGAACTAAAATGGAGTGGAATGGGTGAATTTAACTCAGATGACCATTATATATACTACTATGGGCAGGAATCCCTTAGAAGAAATGGAGTAGCCATAATAGTTAGCAAAAGAGTCCGAAATGCAGTACTTGGGTGCAGTCTCAAAAATGACAGAATGATCTCTCTTCGTTTCCAAGGCAAACCACTATTCTCAGTCTCCCTATAATTTTTCTGAAGTGGTATTTTTGAAATGGAAGTTTCACTATTTTTTCTCTCCCATGGATTAAACAACATTCAGTAGTTCCAGCTGGGGTTCTCTGATTCCTTGCTGTTTTTGTGTGTTGATTTAGAGAAATGCCTCCTTCTCTCAGTCTTTCCTCTTTATGCCTTTGTGTCAGGTCTATATCCATGTTAGATAGATTCCCCAACTACATAGTGAATGAGTTTCTGTACTATCCTATGTAAAAGTTTTTCAAGGTCATTCTTTCTTATTCTAAAATAATACCTGTTTTTAGTGGACATCTACTCTGTTCTTTGCCCAAATGAGCAACCTTCTTATGTTAAATGTATCTTTTTCTTGCGGTAAGTATGTGGTATGATTAGCAGATGACATGTAGATCCTACCTCTCTGAACACTGCTGTTTTTCAAAGGTTGGGCTTCTGAACCAAGTCATAGTGACATATCTCCAAGCCACAGTTGATTGCTGCAAGTATGTCTCTGACCACAAAGGTCCAAATCTGAGCTTCTCCCCAGGATGTTAGACTTTGGAATAGAAAAACCAAGCCTAAGTCCTTTTTTGGAGTGTGATGTGTAGAAATTACTAGCAGTCATATTTCCTCTGTTAGAAATTGAATCTGGGATAATTTTTAAAAAGATATGGTAGAGAAGAAGATGTAGTATTTAGGTTTGGCAGTATTCAAGTTCTTGATTCTAGCTGTCTTGGACATTCAGCTTCTGCACTCAGTTTGATTACTAGCTGATTACTAGCTGTTAAATAAGCCAGTACACCCATCCTCTTGCATAAGCTGAAGTTATGATTATGTCATTTATAGTCAAAAAAGTATTGATAAGTACATCTTTGATTGTAATTCTTTCAATTACTTATGTGAAATACCTATTTTCTTATTTCTTTAAGAAAATATTATATTTGTCAATAAAATAGAAATATGCTCATTATGTTAGATGTATATGGATATTAGAGATTAAAATAGAAATTATCCATAAAAATTACCATCTGATTATAATTATGAGTAATATACTGGCATATTTATTTCCAGTATTTTTCTATGCCTACATAAATATACATTTACACAATTGTGATTTTATGGTCTCTACATTGTTAGCCTGACTTTTTCATAATATTTTGAGAATTCTTTTACATTATTAAATATTGTAATACAAAATAATTTAAAATGCATACATAGAATTGCATTATATAACTATATCATAATTATATTTTTTATTCTTCTGTTGGTCAATTAAAATTATGTTAAATTTTTTGCTGTGCTTTGAAAATTCTTTTCTATACCCCTGTCTGTATTTAATATTACTTCTTTTATAGATTGATATATTCAGAATTAGTAGGATTTAACAATATTTAAACTCTTTATTCATATAATCATCTCTCATAAAAGATTTGTACTGTGTGGAAAAGAATCTGCTTGCCAGTGCAGATGTGTGTTCAGTCCCTGGGTCAGGAAGGGACTGTGTCATCTATGCCACCACAGAGCACCGAGGTAAGCTCCCTGTGCTATACAACAGGCTCCCACTAGCCATCTGTTTCACACATGGTAGTGTATATACGTCAGTCCCAGTCTCCAAGATCATGCCACCTCTCTTCCTCCCCCACCCTGTGTCCATGTGTCTGTTCTTGTGTCTCTGTCTCTATTCCTGCCTAGCAAATAGGTTCATCTGTACTGTTTTTTTTTTG